TTAGGATGTGCTTACTGGTGATTATTTACATGTTTTTCTGATCATGTTTTCCTGAGCTTATTTTTCTGAACTCAAACAACTGTCCTTGGATCATGCTTTCTTTGTTTCGTTCATGTGTAAAAAGTGTACTGAAACTGACATAAGGTTGTCTACAGCATTAGACTGAAGTCCACCCCATTCTTCCCAGTCCTCATGTCCAAGGTCCAGCAGACAGGATCTGCTCAGGTCAGCTGAACACTTACCAGAAGACGATATATAAACATCAACAGTATTATCTTAGGTAAAAATACAATAGAAAGCAAACTCCAGCCGAGGAGAGACTAGCTTTGAATCAGAGTATCGGGTCCTCACAGAAGAAAGCAAAGTAGGAAACAAGCGCACTGCCTCCTCAAGCTGATCATGCTACTCAGGGCTAGAGTGTACTTGTGACCTACTTAGCAAAGATGACTTGAAAAATTACTTGGAGTAAATTGTTTAATGAAGATCAAAGTTTAGGAAACATAAAAAGCATTAGAAGGAAGCATACTATAAATTACTATGATGGCTAATCTTGGTTGTCAACTTGAGCACATCTGGAATCAACTAAGACACAAGAATCTGGGTACACCTGTGAGGAATTATTCTCCACTGGATCATTTAAAGTGGGAAGACCCATGCCAAATCTGGGTCGTATCTTCTCATGACAGTTTTCGTAAGAGGGCACAGAGGAAAGAAGCTTTTGCTTTTCACCTGCTTGCCCTCACCCTCACTGGCAAGTTCATCTGTCCTGCCGCTAAGACATTCTTTCACTGGCCTTGGAACCTCCTTCTTCTAGATTCCAACATAGACTGAAGGTCAGCCGATATACCCAGCCTCTTGGACCAAATATCATATTCTTGGCCTTTCTGTCAGGAGACAGCCATTGTTGGATGAGCTGGACCAATCTATAAATGTTATAATAAATCCCCTTTTGGTATATATAGATTCATTCTATCAGGTGTGTTCCTCTCAAGAATACTGACTGCTACAGTTATCAAGAGAATATTCTTCCATGAATTTATATGAAATCACTGTGTATTACCATGCTATTAGCTTGATAGTGATATATTCACCAGTTGCTTTAGTTTAATCTACTATGAAAATGATAACTCTTTCTAAATCACCTACACTACTGTTATGTACTTTTGTTAGAGACCTTGAATGCACTTTATTTTACTTAATAATACATTAATTTTCCTAAAAAATAGGTCTTCAAAACTATATTACCAGAGCCCGGGAAAGCATGAAAAGATTTTCATTTTACTTATTATATACCTCATAGTAACCTGATAGACAATATAGGCAAGATTATGTTCTATATAACTTACAGCATTTTCACTGTTTTGGTTTAATTTCATGTCTTTCTTTCTCCTTTTCTTCCTACTTATTTACATTTAATTAAGTATCTTTAATATTTCTGAAATCTGGCTCAAATCTTTCCTGAAATACTACATAGAAACAAAATAAATAGGTGTTATCTTCCTTAAGACGTTGGACTGGCAAGATGGCTCGAAATGTCAGGGCACTTTATCACCAAGCCTGATTACCCAAGTTCAACCCCCAGGAACTCATATAATGGAGAAAGGAGAAAACTGACTCCCACAAGTTGTGTGACTTCCATAAAAATGTTGTAACATGTACCCTCCTGTCCACAATAAATGAATAAAAATAAACAAATAAATTTAATTACTAGGAAAATACTATAAAATTAGCTGTTTCAGTCATCTTGTTTCTCATTTTTCTCCTTTCTCTTCTGATAACCCTAAAACTCTTTAGTTTGTATTGTCTGACTCATGTATTTCCAGAATATTTTTGTTGCTAAGGTGACAAAGATTCCTTGACTAATCTGGAGCAAAAGAGAAGTAGTGATAGCTGGCTTAAGTATGGAGAGTGGTTTGAAAGGGATGGGGATTTGAGCCTCATATTGTTGGTCTAGGACCACCATCCTCCCCCCATTAGCATGACTGGCAAATGCAGATCAATAATGACTTATTTTAGAAGGGTTTTTCTTGCTGCCCAGATTATCATGATTCTGAACATGCTGGGCTGTAAGTCACAAGCACGAAGCCTTTCTCAGCAGGTCATATGACCCCAGCAGAGAAAGGTTGCCAGAATGTCAGGCATCAAGTGGGATTCAGGGGAGGGGAAATTCAGACAAGGAGTCCCACAAGAAGGAACCACATGAACAAAGGTCTGAAGTTGAGAATGAACAACAAATACAAGTTCAAAATGGACAAATCTTAAGCATGTGTGAGGAGAGTGAATTAAGTGAAGCACAGAAAACCCGTATGTGCTTGGGACATTCTAACGTGGGGCAAAGCAAGCTCATTAGGATTCTGGGGAGGAGAGGGTCATAATGAAAACTACTCTATGCATGGTAAATAATAGCAAGATGAACAAAATTCATTAGAATGATTTCAATAGGAAGGTTGGCTCTGAGAGGGTTTTTGAGACAATATTTACTGGCATGAAAAGACCAGACAAGACTAAGAACTAAGAATAGCCAATCAAGAGCTCAGAAGGCTTTGCCTTTTAAGCATTTATGAACAATGCTTATGTATGGAGAACAAGGCAAGATGAGATGAAGGAGTTATCCCAGCAAATAACTTAAGAAATGTGGGCAAGTCGGGCGGTGGTGGCGTACACCTTTAATCCCAGCACTGGGGAGGCAGAGGCAGGCAGATCTCTGTGAGTTCGAGGCCAGCCTGGTCTACAGAGAGAGTTCCAGGACAGCCTCCAAAACAATACAGGTAAACCCTGTCTCAAAAAACTAACAAAAAAAAGAGAGAGAAATAAAAAAGGAAAAAAGAAATGTGGGCAGCTGGATATAAAATGTTGAGGGAAGGGCAAGCACTTATCGAGAAATGTAGAGATACAATATTCTCAACAGGTTGTAAATTAAACAATGTAAACAAAGAACAAATACAGAAAATAGCTTTGCTTTTTTCTTTCTTTAACTGTTTCATATTAACAAAGTTTAACTGTATACATTGTAAGAAATTTGGAAGATACAGATAAAAATTAAAACCACTTGGCAAACTCACCACCAGAGAGAAAGCCTATTAAGCCTCCACAGTCTATACCCTTTCCGTATTTGGTGGGACTTTGCTTAATTGGCATTTCTGGAATGCTCTGTGTATAGTAATTGCACAGACTAGTGTTTCTCCATTGTATCTACCTACTAGTAACGTTCCTTGCCTAGACAACAAGGCTTTGCTCACTCAGGAAGTTTAGGGTAGATTGGCCAGGATCTCTTTTAGAGTTTAAGCACTGTAAACTAGCATGTGAGGAGCCATGGGAAGCTGAGTAATCAAAAGCACACGTTCTGCAGTGACTTACTGTGGGGAATGCTTCAGGAATGCCTGCTCCCATCCACTCTGAATGGGTTTCCTTTTGAAAGGAGAAGCACTCTTGCCAAGATCAACTACAAATGGAATGGGAATGATTCATGGACCGATCGCCAGCTTCACTTTCTTCAGAAAGTTGCTACCCTCACCACACAGCACTTTTCTCTTCACAGAGGAAGCACGGGAGTCCTTGCTTACCCAACAAGAGCTCACAGAGGGCTAAAACATGGTCAGTATAAAGCACTTGGCACTGCTATACATATTGCTGACTTGAATAACCTCATACTTACTAATCTTCTCACTCCAATTAACTGTAAATCACAATGATTTCTATAAGTTATCAAATACCTTGTAAGAAATCAATCCTTTTATTGATCCCTTACTGGTCTATTGTTCTAACTCTCCTATAAGTGATTTTTTTCAGTAACAGTACAGAACGTCAATTGTCTATTTTTCTCTTACAAACAACACTTTAACAGCTATTTTACACATAAAACTTGGTTAGCATTTTCACTTCATTCCTTGCAGTGGATTTCTAAAAGTGGATTTCCAAGGGTGTTTTTAAGTTTTTAACAAAGTCTACTAACACAAACCTAGAAGCAAGCACTGGGCACCATTTACACTGGGAGTGAACAGGAACTCGGGGCTGAATCTTTCTGTTAGGGCAATAGCTCATTTACTGACAGAAGCAGAAAAAAAGACACTTCTTGGGAATAGAAAAACAACTATTTTTATGGTTAAGTTCCCAGGCTCTATCTGGGCTGAAAGAAGAATATTAGAGTCTCACCTGATGGGGAATTGGTGGTTTCAAAGAGAAAAGCAAGCGTGCCTGAGGTAGAGAGCACATGTGCTTATATGAATATGCACCTATGAACTCGGAGAGGTAGTGACCACATGCCAAGCACCTGCACAGGTCAAGCCAAAGGGGTGCCGACACTGAGAGGAGGAGCAGACACAGGACGTAACCAGTCTGTAACCGCTAATAATGAATTTCCAACATAAATCAAGATCACCAGTACCTCCTTTAGCTATTCATGATATTTTGTTCTCAGATACCAAGGAAAGCCATACTTCCAATGATATATTCTACAAAGAATTAAACTGACATGCTACATAATGCCACAAAATGTCATCAGAATTTTTTGGAAGTACATTTTACACTGTGAATGCTTTTTCTGATTTTTAAGTATTGTTAATTAAATAATAAAAATGAAAAATCTTCTTCATAATTATAAAAGTTACTCCTCTCAACTTCTACCTACTCTTCTGAGTTAAGTTAAACTGACTACCTAGTTTTGCTGTATTTATCAGATAATTAGCTTCAGAACTGTCAAATCCCCAATCATAGATCAAGAAGTAATTTTTTAAATGTCTAAGTAATTAGCTTAAATAGAATGAAGTTCTCAAAATCCACCTTGTCCATTACGTAACTAAAGTTAGGAGTTAAAGAAATGAATATGAGTGCTGTGTCTTTGATTCCTGGGCTTAAACAAAATCATGAAATTATCCTTTCCACTTCCTTGCTTGCCGCTAAGTTCCTTTTGTAAGATTCCTTGATGCCCGTGAAGCAGAGTTTCTACTACACGTGTAAAAGAGTCACAGAATTATAGACAGTGTGGCATTTGGAAGTCCCACCTGAGTAAAGGAGGGTAGAACGCTGACATGCACGAAACCCAGTGCAGTGGTTGATTAAGCAATGACGCTGAGGAATTTGAAGCCAAAGCTGACTCATCCATGCCATGTTGAAAAGTCCTAGAGAAACAAAATCAATTATTTCAGAATATGCAGGAAACAACAACTATGGAGAGCACTGAAGTAATTTTGGAATTTCACTTAGTTTTCACAAGTCAATTTTTAAGAAAAAGTGGTGCCATTTTATTGAGGAAAATGCATCCACCAAAATGACAACAAACCTATCCCCCCCCAAAAAAAAGGAAAGAAAAGAAAAAAGTAACCCCAAGAGTCAGAGCCTTTGTAGAACAATCTTTACGTGGAGAAGGCATAGCTATGTCATTACAAATCCCACAGAAAGTACAATGAATACAAGCCTTGTCACTCAAAACTAGCATTCTTATATTCCATAGGATTTTCACCGACCTGCACTCAATAAGTGCCAATATTTATAATATCTGTTTAATGTAAGAACATTTAACATTAGGTACATTTTAGCCAATGTGATTTACATATATCAAACAAATTAAAACTTATAATTAACTGTATATGTTTTTAATGGCCCAGAGAGACCTTGTGAAATGTATTAACATGATGCAAAATGTATAATATTCTGTACAAATGTCTTATCTACAGCCACCTTTTGGAAAGAACTAATTATAGACTACTTTCTACAGATGTCCTGTCTATGCCACCTTTTGGAAATGACTAATATCTTTCTGAGTTGGCTCTAATTCAACTATAGATCTAGGTCTAATAGGGAAAGGTTTGTTATCTAAGTGCTTAGTAGATAGTTTGACTAGATGAAAATTTTATAACTGGACAATCTATTTGCCCACATAAAGTCAAGAGTAAAGACTTTTAGAAATGGGATTGTTTGAGGTGGTAGTTTCCATATAATGAAGAAATAATATTGCCTTTTTAAAAATTAAAATATAATTACATCACTTCCCCTCTTCCCTTTCATAATGCAGAGGTCAAAGTATCATGAGAAAAATAGCCCCATCACAGAAGAGGCAGCAGAAAGAGTGTAAGGACCAGAGGACTAGAAAGTCTACTATATTTCCTAGAAATGATTGCTTAAACAAAATAAGACCTGGAAAATGACAATATCAACAGACACACATATACAGAAGGTAGAAACTGGTCAAAATAGAATCCAATTCTGTTGTGAAAAAAGCCATCCCTACCATCTTCTCACTTTGCATCTTGAATTTGTGCATTGTCCTATTTTCTAAACTTGACTTTTCTCTTCCTTCACTGTCTTGAAGAAATGGGTTATCTTCAATTAAGTATACTTGGAAGATATAATGCCATTTTTTTCTTTAGCATCACTAAATTCTAGAGCAGAGAAACATCCCCAATTAGTTGACAAAGTCAGGCTATAAATACCCATTCAATGCAATCCACAGAGGTAACTACAAAAGCAGACAGAGACTAGCTCAGCACCACGATGTCCTTTTCCACCAGCAATGAGGAATTCCTGAAGAATTTATAGAGCAGTAGTGATGTTAGTAGCCAGCAGTTTCACATCTTATAAAACAGAGCTCAGTAGCAGTAAGGGATGTGGGTGGGAGGGGATTAAGAATAATGACTAGGATACTGTACGACCAGTGAGAAAGTCCCAAGCAAAGAGACAAATGTAAGAGTTCCTCCATTAACTGGATGAACAACAGTCATTATGACACGAGAGTGAAGATAGGACAGAGAGTTGAATGTACAGGAGGAGCCTAGAGAAGCTCACAGGAATTCCACTTAATTTTAAGTAGTCACAGAACTTCATGGGCATTTGAAATTCATATGAAGATATAGATAGAGCATGAATTTGAATTTACTGGCCCAGTATATACAAAAGAAGTCTGATTTGAAGATACCCTTGCAGAAGTCATCACCCACTGAACAAGTACAAAATGAAAAGATAGTCCATCACATATCTTTGGACCAATCTGTAAAGCATGGCATGAGAAGGAGGACTAAAATGAAACAGAAAGAAACCAATCAGAGAACAGCAAAGAGCCAGGAGAAAGCTGTGTTAGGGCGGCTGTTAGCAATGCCAACAGCTGCAGAGAAAGTTTAAAAAATTCTCCTGGAGTTAGTCATTGCATACACATGAGTGCCATGGTCCTTGCTTATTTATCTGGAGGGAGGGAGAAATCAGGCTGCGGGGACAGTCTCTGTGCTAGGACAAGCAGTGATCGGATGTGAGTGAAAACACAAGAGAAAAGAGTGCCGGCAATGTGGGAGGAAGAGGCGTGAGGCAGAAGAGGCGTGAGGCAGGAGAGGCGTGAGGCAGAACCCATACGTCACAGACTAAGGACACAGAATGGTACAGAAAACTTACCAGACTCCTAGCTGAGACAATAAACGCATTAACCAAAGGCATATCCAGAGATGCAGGGGTAAACTGCGATGAAAATATTTATTAAGAATGGATGTGGATACAGTAGTTGCCTAAAGACCATGGGTTGAAGCTCCCAGAGCCACAGTAAAGTGTGAAAGGATAAAATGAATGCATAATGGGCTATATTTTCTCAGAGAACCACAGGGCAGAGCTACCTGTTGAGGAAACATAGAATGTGGCAAGGTCAAAGAGATGACCAAAGCTGGGAAATCTAGAAGCAGTCCCTGGTAGTGTCAGATGATGCAGTTGCCGGCATGTACAGAGATACTTAAGTGATAATCTGTGTGGGCCAGAGACTGGCTAGAAGCCAGCTGAGGTTGGAGGGAAGAAGATGCTGTTTAAGAAGCGGGAGATGTTAGTATAAGGAGAGCTTGAGATTTGCAGGCAAATGGATGGAACTAGAAGAAACCACCCTAAGTGAGGTAACCCAATCACAAAAAGGCAAAAATGGTATATACTCACTCATACACAGATATTAGACACAGAGCAAAGGATTACCAGACTACAATCCACACCACCAGAGAAGCTAGGAAACAAGGAGGACCCTAAGAGAGACAAGCATGGTCCCCTGGAGAGGGGGGAAAGGGACAGGATCTCTGGAACAAATTGGGAGCTTGGGGGGGGAATAAAGAGGAGGGGAGAAAAGAAGGGGGGGAGGAGAACATGAGGGATCAGGAAGATGGAGTGGGGAGAGGAATGGAGAAGAGCAAGAAAAGAGACACATCCATTATAGGTTTAAAGAGAAATCTGGCACTAGGGAATTGTACAGAGATCCACAAGGATGACCCCAACTAGGATTCTAAGTAATAGTGGAGAGGCTGTCTTCAATGTTCTTCCCCTATAATGAGATTGATGATGACCTTAAATACCATCCTAGAGCCTTCATCCAGTAACTGATGGAAGCAGAAGCAGACACCCACAGCTAAGCACTGAGCTGAACTCCTAGAATCCAGTTGTAGAGAGGGAGGAGTGATGAATAAAGAAATCAAGACCATGTTGGGGAAACCCACAGAAGCAGCTGACTTGAGCAAGTGGGAACTTATGGACCCCAGTCTGACAGCTGGGGAACCAACATAGGACCAAATCAGGCCCCCTGACCGTGGGTGTCAGCAAGGAGCACTGGGCAGTCTATGGGGCCTCTGGCAGTGGAACCAGGATGTATTCCTAGTGCACGAATGGCCTTCTTAGCCTAAGCCCTGCCCCAAATGATATGACAGACTTTGATGATCCCTCTGGGAAGGCCTCACCCTCCCTGGGGAATGGATGGGAGATGGGATGGGGAGGTCTGTGGGGGGCAGGGGAGAATGGGAGGGAGCAGGAACTGGGATTGATATGTAAAATAAGGCTGTTTCTAATTTAAATGAAATTTATTATAAAAAAAGGAAGGTTTGCAAATGACAGCCTCAAAGGAAGCGACAGCCAAGGATGAAGCCCTCCTTATCACACCTATACCTGCTTGTGAGTGAACATGAGTGAACACAGGATTCACACCTATTTCACCTATGCCTGCTTGTGAGTGAACATGCGTGAACACAGCAGTCACACCTATCACACCTATGCCCACTCGTGAGTGAACATGAGTGAACACAGGAGTCACATCTATCACACCTATGCCTGCTTGTGAGTGAACATGAGTGAACACAGGAGTCACACCTATCACACCTATGCCTGCTTGTGAGTGAACATGACATGAGTGAACACAGGAGTCACACCTATCACACCTATGCCTGCTTGTGAGTGAACATGAGTGAACACAGGAGTCACACCTATCACACCTATGCCTGCTTGTGAGTGAACATGACATGAGTGAACACAGGAGTCACACCTATCACACCTATGCCTGCTTGTGAGTGAACATGGCATGAGTGAACACAGGAGTCACACCTATCACACCTATGCCCACTCGTGAGTGAACATGAGTGAACACAGGAGTCACACCTATCACACCTATGCCTGCTTGTGAGTGAACATGACATGAGTGAACACAGGAGTCACACCTATCACACCTATGCCTTCTTGTGAGTGAACATGACATGAGTGAACACAGGAGTCACACCTATCACACCTATGCCCACTCGTGAGTGAACATGAGTGAACACAGGAGTCACACCTATCACACCTATGCCTGCTTGTGAGTGAACATGACATGAGTGAACACAGGAGTCACACCTATCACACCTATGCCTGCTTGTGAGTGAACATGACATGAGTGAACACAGGAGTCACACCTATCACACCTATGCCTGCTTGTGAGTGAACATGAGTGAACACAGGATTCACACCTATCTCACCTATGCCTGCTTGTGAGTGAACATGCGTGAACACAGCAGTCACACCTATCACACCTATGCCCATGTTTTCCGTATGTCTTTGAGCCCTTTGTATAAGTCCCCATCTGTTCGGAAATGAGAAGACACCTCATGTAGAATGCCCTTGCCATCATGGATAGCCATCTCCATAGCATACTCTTAACAGAGGATTGTCTTTATTAAGTATTCCCTGACACTGTGTCTAAAACATAAGTCCTGTTGCTATCTCTTCCTAGTCATATTTTACTTTGTTTCCGATTATTTTATGTTTACTTTTTTCTCTATTTTATTTTACTTGTTGTCTTCTCTGTGCCTCTAGGAGAAGGTAACTGAAGGTTATTGAGAAGTGGCGCTTATCACACGTAGGAGAAATGGAATCAAACAGAGTTTGGATCCAGTGTAAACTTTCTCATTAGATTTGTAGTATTTTTGACAACTTACTTAGCCTCTGTCTTCCAATTTATAGAATGGGGATATTAAAATGTGTGTGAGGATTCTGTGAGCTAATACATGCGAGGTACCATGTGTCAGGGATAAGAAGAGGTGAAGTGCCTCTATGAAAACAGCTGCAAGGGGGCGTGAAAAGCATCTACAAACATCTCAAAACGCTATGGAAGTCCAAACAGTAGAAATAGCCATCTACTTGCAATTTTCTCCTCAACAGCAGAAAAAAATAATACAAGATCTAATAATAGAGGAATGATTAACTATTGCCAAATGTTCTTAGATACAACCAAAAACACAGTAGTCAGCTGGCTGTTTCTGTCCTCCTCTTTTACTTAACCTACAGATTCCTGGGCCTGGCAGGAGTAAGGTTATTTGACTATATGGGGTGTTATGGCAGATGTTTATGGTCTCAGAGGGGGTGTGATCTGTGCGAGCATTTAATTCCACAGCAAGAGCCCAAATTAGTTTCATTATTCTGGAGAGTATAAGCGCGTGAAAATTGGCCCATGAGCTCATTGGGGGAATGAGATTGTGAATTTGCTATTAGTTAACCTCTACTGACATTTCAGTATACAAGTAAAAGAGATGATATTCTGAATAATTCATATCAGAGCATAAAGCACAACCTTAAAAATCTATAGCTATACTTTCTCCAATAACATAATTTTTATAAACCAAATTTAAATACCTTAGAAAATGTTAAGTACTTAAAGATGGAGGCAGAACCCATCTTTTCTGCATGCTACCAGTTTGTAAAGAGACCTCTGTTTAGGGGGGAATAAACATGCCTTGTCCTTCCTCCAGGATGAAGGAGCCAGGCTCCATCCCTCTCCTTAACACCATATGGCCTCTGCACCGGCCAGGCCATCGCATCTGACACTCTGGCCTAACACATGTTCTCTTGCTTCTCTAGTCCTCTTACATGCTATCTCTTTTCTTTCCCAACATATTGAGTTGTTCTTGGGATTACATAATCAGTTGTTGGGGAAAATGAATCCAAGGCACCTCAGAAGTGAGAAAAACCAAAAGCTAACACATCTTAGCTGGATTTGCGCTTGGCTTGTGTCACTTGGGAGTGGCTGTGGGCCCAGCAGAGAGAGTCTTCAAACACGGTGCTAGGAGACTGCCCCTCCACAGTGGAGTTGATGCCTCAACAGAGTGTACTCTAGAAAGGTGAAGGGGTATCTCAAAGTTCTCCTCTCTCTGTGCGCAGTCCTATGCTTGGGCCACTAGACATCATCAACTAACAGGAAATCCAAGAGAAAAACACTGTCTTGGAAATAGAATTAAGTTACAACTGAAATATTGGATACGAAAGATATGCAGACCTTTTTGATGGTGCTACAAACAAAAACAATCACAAATCACAAATACATAAAAACAGTTCAATAAAGTATTCCAAGATCGAAATAGAATCCAAATCACTGTTTCACTCTCTTTTTAAATGTCATTTTTAAGTTTAAGGCCTGCCTAGGATACCTAGAAAGATCTTGCCTCAGGAAAAAAGAAAATAAGCAAGGTTTGTTGACACACATATAACATCCCAGTACTTGGGAGGCAGAGTCAGGTGGTTCTCTGAGTTGGAGGACAGCCTGGCCTACACAGAGAAAGCCTATCTTGAAAAAAGCAAAACAAAACAAAATAAATGAGTAAATAAATAAGTAAATATAATTAAATATGTTTTCTCTGGGGCCCTATGATGTTTAAATGTAACTGTGTAAGTGTCAAAATAAGGCACTTAGAGTAAAAGGTAGTTTCCTCTATTACTCTGGCCACTGGCTTACAATTCACAAAAGAAAAACAGCACTCGGGCATTAAAAAAAAATAAAATGAGGACTTTAAGTTAGAAAATGACTAGCAAAATGCACCGTCTTCGGTAGACACAGGATGGGAAAAGGGATGCATAGAAGACGTTGTCAGGTCATGTTTAGAAGAAAGGAAAATGGATTTGCGTATCCATGTGGGAACAGCAGACTGCCAAGGGCAGGCTGAGAAGAGGACATCTGGCAAGGAGGAAGGGCAGAGTGAAGCTTCACCAACAGTAGAGTCAACCTCAGGAAGGGTTAGCAGACAGGCTATCTCTGCAAAACAACCAGCAGTTCCCAGGCTCTGCTTCATCAGGGCCATATACAAAGCTGTTGTATTCTTCTATTCTTTCCAAAGATATCCCCCAAGTAACATTTAGATGAAAATGTACAAACACATCCACAAAATTACTAGGACAAGAAACTTCTCTTTGAGAATCATTTTGCATTGTCAAGTACTTTTTTTTTCAACTTTTAAGTATTTTTACTTTTAGTCAATACTTTTTCCCATTAAGACAAGTTCTTCCTATGTAGCCTAGGCCAACATAAAACCTGCAATACTTTTGTCTTGGCCTAAGCCATGTACTATTATACCAGGCTAACCTAGATTCATTTTAGCAGTTTTATTTAGATATATAATTCAAATATCACAATATTTGCATGTTTAATGTATGCAATTAAGAGTTTCTATTATATTCAAAAAACTTAAACTTCATATCCAATAGCTGCCTACTTCCCCTCTCTTCTTAACCATGAAGGGATCCCTGTGTTTGCATATTTGCCTATGCTTGGTGTTTCTAATGAATGGAATACCTGTCTTTTTAAAAACTCAGCATAACACTTTTGTGGTTCATTTATATTGTAGAATATTGTCCTTCATATGTTATACTGAGTCTTGTTTATCTGTTCATGGGTCTGGGAGTTGTTTCCACTTTGTGCTACTCAGAAAAGTGCTGATAGGCCTATTCCCATACGTTTATATTTATCCTTTTTAGTTTATGGTATGGACATGTGTTTTCATTGCTGGGCCATAAGATCATATGCTCAACATTTCACCTAAGAATATGCTGTACTCAACGTTTTAAAGAATTGCCTGCTTTTTAAATTGTGTCATTCATTCTTGAGATTTGAAAAAGTTTTCATTGAAAATGTGTCATTCCTTAGGGACTGTGAAAAACCATAGACTAAGGCCATAATCTCAAGGACGTAACACTAACATGGCTTCCAAGCAGAGCTATGGTTATACATCATTAGGATTCTCTGCAATTTGGTGACTCTAAAGCCATATGGGTCATCTCAAATAAATTCCAACTTGAGTCTGCACCTTCCCTGTTTCTTAGGATGATTGGCATATCAGCCCTTACATTGTTCTACATTATTAGTTCTTGGCGCTATCTACTTATACCAACTTCCCACAATCAGGAGTTCTGTTATGACATATCAAAACATTTTGGATAAGCAGTATTTAAAGTTAACAGTCAGAATTTATCAACCTTTCCTAAAATTGCTTGAGGCAGCTTAAAAGCTCACTGTTGTGACCCTTGCACACAATCATAGGGCTACAGAGGGAATAGTGTTTTGTTTAAACAAAAATTCATGAAGACAGGTTTAGAAAAAAATACACATTTTTAACATTTTTGTTATGTATCATAAAATTATGTATCCTTGTGCTTGGACTTCGTGGTCCTACACTAGGCTCAGAATGAATACACGTTCCATTGATCTGTCAGAACCACTGAAACAAAGGCAGTCCCTTCTTACAAGGCATGTCATGCCAAGTGACCAGGGCAGGTACAGTTCATAAAAATTCAACACTTTCAGCATTTTATAGTTGCTTTTCATTCTCCAAGTCCTCAAAGCATACTGCTTATTTTCCATCATGAGCTAGAGATGATAGATTTTAAGAATGTTAATAATATTACAACTTCATACCTCTGCTGTGAAAAGAGGCTTTAAAGACAATAAGGTTTTACAAAACATACATATTTTCCTGGTTGATGAAGAGCACACTGCCTTATAGACTTCCTTTGTCACAAAAATCAAAATACATTTCAAAGTTTGATATGTAAAATAAGAGTGCTTCAAAAAATAAAAGAGAGAGAGAAAGCTCAGGATTTAAAACAGAACATTGCTCTTTAAGAAGACACAAGTTCAATTCCCAGCACTGACAACTGACATTGGGTAGCTTACAACCTCTAGCTCCAGAGGATTTGACCATTTGTAGACTCACAGGCAACAGCACCCACCTGTGCACATGCTGCCCAAACTCATATAGACAAGTAAAGTGAATTTTTAAAAAGTTAAAATCTATCAGATGAATAGATGGATGGATATACAGATAGATGATAGAGATAGATAGATAGATAGATAGATAGATAGATAGATAGATAGATAGATAGATTATAGGTAGACCAATAGATAGACAGATAAAACCCTACTCAAAATGTGAAAGTTAATGCCTGGCATGATTATGCAAGCTCATAATCCCACCCAGCACTTAGAGGGAGGAGACAAGGATTTCATCTTTGAATTCAGTAAAGGCCATATAGTAAGACTTCTTTGAAAAAGAGAAAATCAAAAGGGTAAAGCTTAAAATGCATTAAAAAGGCTTATTAACTGAATGGGTCTAACCAATGGACATGAAAAATGTTTGGAGTGACTAAATAGCCTTGAGAACTTATTCATGTGTAGTTTATAAAACATCCCAATTTATGATACTAAAAATGTACTTCAGAGTACTTCTACTTGGTATTAAATACAGAATTCAATAACAGTTCTGACCACAGCTTGGTTAAACACAACATATTTGATACTTACTGATATATTTCTGGTAGTGGTGATGTCAAAATGGCTAATGTTGCAAGGAGGTTGTTGCAATGAGTATGGATTTTAAAAATTTTATTGTTGCTGTACTCATGAGGATTCAAAACTTCCTGTACAGATGTACAAATTGACCATAATATATTCTCAGTGCATATTAAGATTGCTGTGACATCAAGTCTATTGGAAAGACAGAGAAGAAAAATCATGTTAAATAAAATAGTGGATTTGTGTATTGTATACACTTCACTCTGTGTATCCTAAGCATATGTAAGACTATAAAGGTATGGTTATCAGAGGCATCACATAAACACGCCCAAGCCAGGAAGTGTCAGGATGCCTTCTGAACACTCAATGATTGGATGGCCCATAATACCAATGGCAGTACTATTGTAGCAATCCTTTGGGGGTTTGTTTGTTTTAATAGTGTTACTTTTTTTTTTTTAGAACATCCATCAGTGCTGCATGTAAACCACTCCTGACCCACCTTTTGCTCCATCCCAAATTCAAGAGCTCTTATTTAATCATTACTGTTACACATAAGAATCCTCTATGAAAAAGTATTTGCTTTGCATTATCAGAATTCACTTGGAAGGCTGGCCTTGAAATTAATGTGAGCAAAATAGGAGCTGGTTGAAAAGAAAAATGATCTATTACACACACAGACACACACACACACACACACACACACACACACACATACACACACCACAGCAGGTAAGTAGTTGATAGCAAAGAGCATGTCTCCATGCCATCCATGTATAAACCATCAGAAAGAACTCACAAGGTCAGGAAACGTACTCTCCTGGGAAGGCAGGATAACCAAAGCACAAGCTGAGGTGCCTATGGACTCAGAAATTCCTAAAATTATATTTATTTATCTTATTCATAAACTTTTTCTAATTCTCATGTCGTTATTTCCTTAAAATTTTAAGTACATTTTTATTGTAAGCAACACATACTAATCCTACATATTTTTGAAACCCAACATCTCAATTCATGAATACAATCTGTTAAAGATTTTATATATACACATATATATGTTATATATTACATATATATACTAGTAATATATAACAGATGCATGAATAATATATATGGTTTTGGCCATATGTTATATGGATTCTATTAGAGCTTAGTAAGCAATGGTAATTATCAATAATCACTGACAACTATAGACAATCACTTGTAATTATCAATAATCACATCTAGGAAGGTTTAATTTTAGTTTTATTTACTTCTAATTGTTAATAGTTTCTAATCCAAGATACACAAACATACACATTTTGATTTCTATAATAATGATGGTTTATTATTTACCCCTCAAATACAAATATTCACATATTTTACACAGAAAATTTAGAAGCAATAATTCTAGATTTGCATAACAATTTTGTGCAGTCATCCAGAACAAAAAGTCTAAGTCTCTATTGCGCTAACTAAATGTGTTACTTATCTCTGATAATACAAATATCCCATAAGGATGAGCCACATTGCAGCCAGAAATGACTCTGCCTCATAAGAAGGGGAGCAAAAGTAGTCTTTACTCTGAAAAGGAATTTTACATCTATACTTCAGAGTTCCACTTTTTTTTTAAACAACTTGATCAGTAATTCAAACCAGCTTTGCCAAATACCATGTTTATGAAACACCATAGGAGGACCTAGATGCCCTTCAAATCACAGTGTGTTTTACAAGAACATGACTAGGAAATGATTCCTCCTGCCAAAAATAACAAGGAAGTTTCTGATGTCTAGGTTCTTTTGTATCTGAAAACATTACTTCATACCTGAATGCAGGTTTTAATCACATTAGCACAAGCATCTAGAAAAAAACAAAGTCTTTTCCCATGTAGCTCAATGTTATCATTAAGCTCATTTACATAATATTCACTGCCAATATACTAGAATTGCTCTCTAACTCAATCTTTTATTTAAAACCTAGTGTCTTTTGCTTCTCATTTTCTTCATTTGGCTTTCAGTAATATATAGAGAGGCAAAAGGAAAAATAAAGGGAAAGTCTGGACAATAAATCATACTATGTTTATTATTATTATGATTGTTGTTATTTGGCTTTTTTTTTTTTTGAGACAGAGTTTCTCTATGTAGCCCTGGCTGTCCTGGAACTGTGTGGACCAGGCTGACTTTGAACTCAAAGATCTGCCTGCCTTTGACTCCTGAGTACTGGGATTAAAAATGTGCACCACCACACTGAGCTAGAATATGTTTTAAAACAAAGTAGTTTCCTTAATGAAAAATAGCTACTCTGTTTGAAAAGTGTCCAAACTAAGTAAATAAAATGCTAAAATCCCTTGATTACTGAGTGGTACAAAGTCAGGTTCGCCGCTCCATCCTCGTGTGGTTGCTGTTTTTTCTGTACGGGGCCTTAATGAGCTTTATCTTATTGTGTACATTTGACCTAGAGGCACGAATGGGGACACCAAGGGGCAGGGAAGTCATTCGGAACCAAGCTCCACTTTTCTACATAATGTCTCGAATGGTAGAAATGCGCTAAACACACAAGTTTTGTCTCGTGCTTCACAATCACATTTTGTTTACGAGCTCATTTCTAAAAATGTCTCCTTGAAGAGTAGCTTTTGTTACCTTATCTGTGCAGTTCTCTTAGGACTGGGACACGCCCGAGCATATCTGGAGGCAAGTAGACCCAAGGACTTCTCCAGAAACTCTGCTAGAATCGCCTGAGCTAGCTTAGCCGGCAGTATGGTCCAGAGATCATGACGCAGAGCCCAGCTGAAGTAATGCCACATCTGGATGGAGAAGGAACATCTTTCCCCCTGGCAAAAAATCATCACATAATAAACAACAAAATCACATCTTCCAAATGTCCGTTTGCTTCCTGGGAACCTAATTAGTTCAGGCTGAGAGGAAATCATTGGAGCGCCTGCTAGATGACCAACAAAGAATTTTGACAAGATGTTAGACATCCTATTGACAAAGGAACATATGTTTTATTTCATTTCCGAAGGAGATATTCTAGTGTAAGTTCAGACCACAATCATTTGACTTCGCATATTTTTCATCTACCTGGCCTTGGCCTGCCTTTCAAAATCTACTTTTAGGCACCAGCTTTGTAGTCCTTAACAAGCCATGCTGACTCTCCAAAATTAAAATGCTTCAATTGTTTATGGAGGCACATTTCTCTGAGACGATTATTAGCCTGACTGAGTTAATTTGACAAATTTTTCAGATTCTGTATTATAATGGAACAAGAGGACTGAAAATAAACACATGTGCTACATTCATGAAACAAAGTGTGATGCTTAACTATTGAAGGATGCATTAGGCCTTGAGCAGTGGATCAGTGTCTATCCCTGGAATACAAACAGTCATCGTGTGCCTATAGCACAAAGAGGGATGCTCTCTCAGCCTGGACTCTTAGGGGAGTGCCTGGACCCTACCCGGAGTGAAATGACAGAGTCTAGATATCCCCTATGTGGAAGGAATTGGCAATAGGGTGGGAGGCTTGGGGGGGAAGGGGAGTGCGGGAGGAGGGGAGGGAGAGGGAACTGGGATTGACATGTAAAACAAGCTATTTAAAATTAAAATAAAAAATGATATAAAAAAAGACTTCCGAGATAGAAAGCAAGTAACAATGAGAAATATCTTCAACTCTCATGATAATTTTCATTAATTTGGCTTAAATACAAATTTTCTCTCCCAAATTAATTACTTTTTAATTGGCTTTATTAAGAGATAAAAAAGGGTGCATTAATACATTAGGCTATTCCATGAATGGTGTCTTAATAATAGTTTATACTAGCAACAGATGAGCAGCAATCTAATTTTACACCATCTTTAAAGTGTAGGTGCAGATTACCATCATTTTGCTTTTTTCATAAATCCAAAGGGTCAAATACTCATTTTTCCCTATTCCTCCACAGACCTCATCTATGTGCTAACTTTTGCCTGACTTCAGAAGCAGATCCAGCAGTGACTGGTCCAAAGGGAGCAGGAGGTAAGGAGAGGACAGGCTGCCTCAAGAGGTTTGCAAGTAAGCATTGATTAGATAGCATTCTTAGTAGGGGGTGGGGTGGGTATTTGACCTCACTTCTTCAAACCAGATCAAAAGATTATCTGAAATAGAAAGAAAAGAATGCATGCTTCAAATTTAATTTGGTTATGTTAATATAGCAAAACATCAGCCATTAAAATGTCCTGTTCAATCCCTAAACATTTCTCTTTTGTGATGGGGGATGACCTTCTGTATATATGTTTCTCTTATTCGTTGATGAATTAAAAAAAACTCTGAATGGCCAGTAGCCAGGCAGAAAGTATAGGAGTGGTTACCAGACAAGGAGAATGATGGGGAGAGGGGGCAGAGAGAAGCCACAAGGGAGACGCCATATAGCTGCCAAAGAGGTAACATGCTGGATTATGGGTAAGCCACAGCCTCATGGGAATACATAGTTTAGTAGGTATAAGTCAATAATTGAGAGAGCTAGTCAGTCAGAAGCCTGAGCCATTGACCAAACAGCTTATAATTAATATAACCCTCAGAGTGTTTATTTGGGACTAAAGTGCCGAGGGCCTCGTGTGACATTATTGCAATTTGCTGTGTGCACTAGCATAGTTCCAAATAAGTGTCATCTGAGAAGTATCTGCCCTTGCCAATGGTAAGAGATCCCCTGTCATCCCAGTACTTGAGTGACTGGGGAAGGAGGACCGGTGTAAGTGTGAAGCCAGGCTCAACTATGCAACAAGTTCCAGGCCACTCTGGGTTACAAAGGGAAATTCTGTCTTACAAAGCAAGCAAAGACAGTCTGCTTTCTTCCTAACCCGAGTACCAGCTTCTCATACAGATATTTTCTTCACATGGCATTCTTTTGACAGTTACACTGATTACTAAAATACTGTAGTCATTAAAAAGAAATAGTGGCTGATTTTTAATTGATAATACAAAAAAGAGTGGAACTATTACTGTGCAGAAAACTTGAACTCAAGTTCAAACAGGAAGGGATTTAGACTAGGTGTTTTTGGACTTCCCAATTACATACATACTTAACACAAAATGTATAAAATTAAAAACAAAGCAAAATTAGTGCTTCTAAGAACTGTTAAACTAAGAGGGGTCTCAAAGTTTGATTCACTCAAACTTCAAATGTAACTAAAGGGACTCTTGAATCCACCAGACGCAGCACTGGCAACCCAATAACACTGTGATCAACAAGGTTTCCCATCATTTTCCAAATACAGATAATTGGTTTCCTTTATGGATATCTTTTAGTACAGAGGTTTTATTATGCTCAAAATGTAATACGTGTATTTTAAAGAGCATAAGTTGCTTCATGCTTTTGAGGAGTTCTGTCAAAATGCCCTTTGTTCCAGCAGTTCTTTCAAAATGAAAACAACTTCCGTGTGGGTGTATGTAGGGGTTTCATTAAACTAAATATGACTCCAGTCTTTGACCCGTTTCCCTGCTTGTTGTCATTTCAAAGTATTCTGTAGTAAACATCTGTTGTCTTTATAAACCCACTATAATGTAAACAGATGTGAGCTTTTGCTTAGATTATATATCAGGAAACAAGCAGCTGGACCTTATTATAGAAGCCACTCAGTATTATCTCTGAACAGATAATTCTTTACTTTTTGACTATTGGAAAATACTAGTTCCTAAAATTGAGCAGATGTTAACTATACAAAAAGCTTAATTTTAAACATGTAATCTCAATACCAACTGCATTACAATGAACAAGACCCCAGCTCTTTGGCTCATGCAGCCTGACATGTTTAGAGTTTAGAAATGTGTGCCTGTCATTCACTTGCTATCATAAAACATGAGCAAACATTGCTTCCTAGCTTGTAAATTCTTTTACTGTTTTTCCCTATTTCACGGTGCACATGGCCATAGGTTTTTCTGAGAACTCTATTCAACCCTTCATTTCCAGTCAGCCACGCATCATCTCTTTCCTCTTAAAACAAGCTTTCTAAGACACAGTCCTGTTCCCCAAATCAGCTGACATCACATGGAGGACTGGAGGAGAAAGGGATTCAACAAGTGAGATACAACTATGTCAGCTACACCACTCATCAAAACAGTTTAAAATCGGGGCTATTTTCCAAACCATCTTAGTTTTGGTAAATAGGAAAGCAGCATCGCTTTTTTTTTCCTACGCATAGATAAAAACTGTTACCTGCAATTAAATTGTAACTGCTGACCATGTAAGAACACAGAAGCTCAAGTACTGGGTAATCACAGAGTAACAGTTTCATTATTTCTGTCCTAAGATCTACGAGATGCGTGTTCCATGGTAATTTGTTTTGTTTTGCTTTGTATTGGTAAGTACTCAGTGCATATACTTATTTACACTGCAGAACTGTTGTAGTCCCTGATTTGCATAAGAGGAAGCACAGATCTTGACTGTGTGCTGAGATGATGCCTGCTCCTCACTGTAATCATATAAAGGTGTTTGGGTTTAGTGAAATAGTTTGAAACACGAAGGTTCCACTTTCTGTCACTCTGTTCACCTCAAGGCAGGCTGAGTCTGTGCTGCTGCCCGGAGAGGAGGGACCGAGACTTTCATTCTGATTTCAGGCCACCATGCCTCTTTCTCTTTCCCATTGGTTGCTGCTAACACTAATGCCTGAATACAGCGGCTTTGGAAAATGATGTATGGATGCTCTTGCAAAGAGAAAACTATCTGGGGAGGGCTCTAAAGAGATGAAACAGCCTGAGGGAAACAGAAAGCTGTCAAGAGGGTCTTATTTGGGGCCCCTGTTTTAACAACATCCATAGTATCTCAGGCACAAACATAGCCATGCCTAAGGGTGACAAGAGTGATCGCTGAAAAAAAAAGCCCACTCTCTTTTTCAAAATACTCCTTAGCTGTTCGGACAATCCAGGAAAATGAAAATCATAGACTGTGATCCAGAAGAAAGGCTATGATGAAAAATAAAGATGAGTCTGGTCATTGAAACTTTTAAACTTCAAATATGATTTTAAAGATATATAAATACTTTGCTCTTGCATGGAATTAATTTCAAATATTATATGATCTACATATAATCTGTGTGATTGAGTGGGAAAGAAACTAATGAAGCCTGATCACACATAATTTTGACTGATTCTCAGTTTGGTTATGTTGGGGGATTATTTGGGCTTTAATGTGATAGGTATTTGGGATTTCATCAAAACATGAACTAAATGAAAATAGTGAAGCATAAAATATTAAGACAGGTATAACATGTACTCTTAAGAATGAGAAAAAGAAGCATAAGAGTAAAGCTGCTTAATAACAAGTATTTATTAAAGAAGATGAAAATACGTAATAAGACGCAAGGACACCTCTAACCGGAAGCTCTGGAAAAACACAAAGAATTGAGTTTGTGCTTGTTATCTCTGAGTTATCATTGAATCTCATTATATCCCAATTCACACAGCGCTGCAACCCTGCAACTTAATCAAGTTATTTTTACTTTCAAGCAGAAGGAGAGTTCTGATGTCTAATTTATTTCAGGTTTCCAATGACAGTGTTTTTCCTAAATACGTATTCAATATTTAAAAAATATTATCCTAACAGGCTTAGTGTTTTAGTAATATGGAGCTCATGTTTCTAATTAGCCAGAAAGCAGGTAGGCAGTAAAACATATTTGTGTAAAAAGGACGAATAGTAAACTTAACTTCACACCTCATAAAAAGCTTTGTAGTCATCCCAGCGGTGGCTCTCAGCATCCTGTAAAATGCTTGTAGCACAAACTCTGACGCAGTAGTCCGCAACCTGAAACTGCAGAGTGTTGATGAATTCCTGATATCGCTGGATGGGCACCAGGAATACAGGTCTGTTCAGAAGGAATGATCAAAGAGACAAAGATTTAAGGCCTGTGCAGTAGGAGGTAACAACCACCAGCACTACAAATGGTTTTCATTATTAGATATCAATCATTCATTTCCTCCCAAAGCTGAAGGCTGTATCCACATTCACCTTCCAAAAAGAAAAGAGGGTGGGGGGAACTCGCCTTTGTTTTGCAAGTCCTTTGAAAACGTGCATCTGCTGCTCTACAAGTATGCACTTCAACTCGAGACACACTGTATTGTCAATACATCGCTCAAAAATAAAGGTATTGTGTGTGAGACTATTATTAGAGATCAGTGCATTATTTAGGCATTAGGTTATCATTATTACTGAGGAGCAACATATACTTGTCAGAAGCAACTGTTCTAAAGCTAACACATCCCATAAACACACTCCTTTTATTTTTAAAAATTGTAATTTTGTAGATGTCAATTATCTCATAAACTGTTTTAAAATAGTCTACTGAAATGAAGTGATTTCTGGCATATTTTGTTTATAAATTCAAGTATGAATCACAACATCTGACTACTTATGAGAATTAAGGAAATAGCATAACTGTATCCTACATTGAGCCAAATTTACTTTGCTTTTATCTTCAGCTATTTATATCATAGTTCCTTATTTCACAGCTAAGAGACTACTCAGGCTGAATAAAGAATATAGAAGAGACTCTTGGGTTGCACTGGACTGCCATGTAAGTTCTACAAAATTCAAGAATAACCAGAAAGATCATTTGATAGTACTCATGGTGACGTTTATCTCCATACAGAAAACATATTGTATTTTTAGACTACTAGTGCATGAGAATTAAGATTGGCAGATGCTTCTTCTTCAAATATTATGGATAGTTTATTACTAAATAGATATCTGTCCTGCAATATGTTTACACTAGGCACAAAGATGGATTAAAATGCATTTATTCACTGTGGCAGTTCCTAACAGCCTGTTGGATTAGAAGCAGAAGCAAGAAGTGAATATTTCACAAATGTTAATATGGGGGAGAGAAACAAGGTTAATTTCCCTTTTCTCTGTGGTCAGTTTATTGGAGGAATGGGGTAAAATTCTTGTCATAACAACATGCAGAACATGGCTGCCCCTTTGTGCCTGTCTTTAGCAGAGATTGACTTTGTTATTATCTACACATCTAGTTTAATGTAACCCACATTTGACCTTTGAAGCATTTCCTAGTCAAGAAAGATGAAAATAATCCACCATGTTAATGATTGTTTTCTCCTCCATGATTTATGTCAACATTTTTATTCTCTGAAATCTGAAGAGTGCATGTTTCCTTAAGCACGAACAACAATTTAATTTAAAAGACACTCACTTCTTGGTTGTCTCTCTCATCAGATTGTCATAGTGTGTAAAATGCTGGGAGACATAGGCTGCTGTGGAGAGGAGGCCGTGCAGGTTCCTCAGCGGTGCCCCTGAGGGAACATCCCTGCCTCTCTCTTGCAGTCTTTCCAGGACAGCTGTTGCCACTTTACAGCAGGCCTCCACGAGGTTCCCTCTAATTTCCTGAAGAGAATCATCTCTGCATCCCAGAGCCAGTGGAAGCATTGTGTCAAGCTTTTCCATGATGTCAGAGCAGAACTAGGGAGAAATAAATGTGGCGCTGAGTTATTTGTACCCTGACAGCACCACATAATTTATATACAGTGGAGCCAAATTCCTAAATAATGAATTTGGCATCAAACATAAATATAATGATGTAGCTTTACAACAATCAATTTCTCAGTTGTAGAAAGTTAAATGTTTCATGTCAAATAAGGAAATACCAAAATGATATCTCTCTATATATAACTTTTAGCTTTATGCTCACCAGACATTATGAAAAACTCATGAGCCAGAGTTACATGACAGTATCTTTATGTGTAGTCAACAGAACTCAAAATAATCTGTATCCTTGATATTAACTTCACATTACTTTTTGAATTTGCTTCTAATAAATTCCCAGGTATAAACATATTTTACTAAGTAATACAAAGAATATCACATTGGCTTAAGTAACCCACAGGTAGAAGAAACAATTTCATGTAATCCCTTCTTAGGGTAAGGAGCCATGATAAGTGTTGTGTCTGTTCTGTTCTCACTATTTAATATGTGTCTGGTCTTGTTAATGGTAGAGGAGCTGAAGGCACAGCCTGCCTCTGCTATCTGACTAGTGAAGACAGCTCCCCACAGAGGGCTCCAGAGCCTCAGGGTAGCAAAGGGAAAATGAAGTCTGGGACTCCTAAAGACACCTATCACTGGCTGCTGACCACAGTGGGGTAAATGCAGACTGTCTATAATGATTGACTTCATTTCCTGGGCAGGTTCTGTTGACTTTCAAAACAGATAGTATGTTCATTTAGGGGAAAAGATTTTATATGTTCACAGCAACACAAGATGGTATCCCCTTTAACCTCTTAAACTCCTCATGTCAATACTCCCCAACTTATTGAGACCACCCCTTTCAAGTCGCTTCAGAATAAAGGGGCAAATGTTAGCAAAGAGACACACATCCTTTCTGGTAGTTCTGGGCTACAGACAACAGAGAAGAAAATTAATATGTTTGGGTGCCAGGTCCTTTCCAAGGCACTCCACCATCTGACCTATAGGCTACTTTTACAATCCTTGCATTTGCAAAAAGAAAGAATCAATAAAAGTCCTGAACGCTGCACCTTCCGGAACAGTGGGAAGCAATGTCTTCCGACACTTGCCTTGGCGACTTGCTTTGGTTGTTCCTCCTCGGCACACATGTGGCCTTCTTGCCAAACTTTTGGGACACTGACAAGGCGCATGGTGTAGCTGGCAGCTGAGGTTCTTTCTGTTTGCTCCTGCTGGAGAACTTGGGTGGAAAAGCCTTCAATGGCTGCTGATATGCAGTGTGCTGTGGCCTGAGCGATTTCTTTAAATGCTTTTCTCCAGCCAAACTCTAGTGAAGTAGCCTGAAATACAGATGCATATGAAACCATATTCACATTAGTTTTAGCGTAGGAGCAAACATTTTCATATAAAAATATTACCTTCATTCAACATATTGAATACAGTATCTTTTGATATAGTCTAAAAGTCATTCTTACAGCCCGAAGAGCATTACCTTGTGAATGAAGCAATACGCACAAACACAGACATTCTTTATACACAGCAATATACTGACATTTAACTTTACTTCCTCAGTGGATTTAATCAAAAACCCTTTTCAAAATTTAATCTTTTAAGTATAGTTCAATAAAGCCATCTTTAACGAGAGCTGAACGCTACAGTTACAACCTATCACATAAAAACAGCCTTTAAATTCAATACATTTAATAAAATCTAAATTAGATTTTTATAGTCCTTTTACCATTTATTGTTAACAAGAATTGCAACATAAGTTAGCATTTAATATTCAATCTCTGATTTCTCTTTTAATATCAGTATTCTAGACAAGCTAAAAAAGAAAACAGCAATAAAACGAATTTTTCAGAGAAAACAAACATTTCACCTTTCTGGTTTTAACTTGCTTAGAATTTTATTTAGTCTCTCCATCAACAAAGACTAGGCACTTTGTTTTGTTACAAGAAATGAGGAAGTAAAGCGGTCTGCATTACTTTGTATGTGGGAGGAGCATCACTACATAACCATTCTGTTGTCTTCGGTGGCTTCACAGTGTGTTTTTATGTTATAGTTCACTCTCCTATGCAGCTCCTCCAGACAGCTTTTCTTCCTTTTACCTTACTCTACATTTAAGGTTTCTATCTTCCATGTTGTGATCATATTCTTTCTTCCCAGATCTTCCAACCCAATTCCATGTGTGTTCCCTCTCTTAAAATGAAACAAAACTTGAGTGTTATAATCTTAATGCCATAATTTGCTTTAATTACTGTGGTAAAACACCATCACCAAATGCAGTTTAGGGAGGGGAGGGTTTACATGGCTTCCACATACCAATCACAGGTAATCATTGAGGGAAATCTGAACAAGAACCAGGAGACAAACCTAAGCAGAGAGCCTGAAGGAGTGACACTCACCAAGTGTTCTCTGTGGCCGGCCCAGCTTACTTTTTTATGCAATCTATGACCAAGGGTGGCACTGCCCGCAATTGCATGCCTTCTCCCATGCGAATCACCTATCAAGAAAATGCCTCACAAACTCACCTACCGCTTAGTCTGATGGAGCAATCCTCCAGTGAAGTTCCCTCGTCTCAGAATGTCCTTGCTTGTGCCAATTGACAAAACTAATTGGCAAACTTGGTTTAATTTTTTTATATTAGTCTTGGTCTCATATGGAAATATGTCTGTGAATATAGACATCCTCTAAATTCCATAATGTTCTCTAAAGTACTAAAGCCATGAGCATTAAGCAGACTAAATCTATGCTTAGAAATCAAGCTCTGTTTTAGTAGATCTTGTTTGTAGTAACATACCACCTACTCCAACCACAGAAGACTTAGAGCTAGATTAACGACTCAGCCATTGAGAGAGCTTGCTGCTCTTGCAGAGCACAGGAGTTCAGTTCAGTCTCAGGGATCCAGTCCCTGCTTTCTGGCCTTCTCTGGCCCTGCCCACATACATACAGAGTAAATCTAAGAAAAATAGTTTTGTAAGTAAATCTTGGACCCTAAAGCCCTGATTGATTTTTTTTTACTTTTTCTGATATTAGAGTCTTTAGCTGGAAAATTGAGTCAAACTGAACAGCTTCTATGCCCCCTTTCAGTCTAAGACTGCAGCAATCAGGACTTGTGAGATGTCTCAGTGGAATAAGGCATGGGCAAATGTACTTGCTATGCCAACTCAAGGACCTCATTTTGAGCCCTAATCCCATGGTAAAAGGAAAGAGCAGACTCCTGAATGTTGTCCCCTGACACTCACTGGTGTATCCTGGCACATATGCATTTTCGTTTGCCTGTGCCCCCCCACACACACAATAATCAACCAGAATTAGTGAGATTAAAATCATAGCCTAATTTGTTGTGTGTTTATCCATCCCCACATCATTTTAACACATTTTGTACAACTATAGAAAACAATAAAGATGGATTATTTATATATAGCTCATGAGCCTACAACACTGTATTCAAAATAACAGCTCCTCGTTTACAACAATTAAGATGGAACTCAACTTTCCTGTCTAAAGTTTATTTGATCCTTTCACAACATAGAGCTATATCCCATTTCTTAATTATATTTAAGCGCAATTAACCAATAACTTTATCCCCTTATCAAAATGAAGGTCAGAGGATAACTTCCAGGAATCTGTGCTTTCCTTCCACCTGGAATGTCAGCATCAAGCACAGGTCATAAGAAGTGGAAAAATTACAGCCTGTGGCATAACAGTAATTCTTTGGGACACATTAATGATAAAAGCATTAAAGGACTACCTCTATAAAAATGAAAAGCAATAAACAAAGTCTTGGTTTGCTTGCTAGTTTATTTCTCTATTGGAGCACAGATATTTATTAAAATCTTCCGTTCATTCAAGGAAGATATTTGGTAAAAGATGTGACTGTTTGATGTGGAGGGAGTCACTTTCCCTTTCCCCGTCTGTGCTTTTTTTCTCTGTCTGCATAGGGACAATTTTTTTCCTGTGATAATTGATATGTGACTGTAATATGCTGGCAATATGAGTTCCCCCCCAAGGATCAGAAACAAAGAAATAAATCATTACCCATACAAAGAAAACTGCAAACCTCCATGCACTGACACCATCTCCTAAAAGTCTATGTTTTCATGAAAGATTGGTTATTTCTTCTCTTCCCATCTGATATTTGGCATCACACACATTCCAGTTAAAATAAAGAACATTTGTTAGTTTATCTAAGAAAAAGAGAAAGAGCTGAGTAGCTTTCTTTTCAGTGCTCAACAGTCAGGAAATTTGGAATCCTATCTTCTGTTATGTAATGCTAGATTCACGCTGAATTTGATTTTCTTCTTGTTGTTGTTGTTGAAGCACTATATACACTTTGAGTATTCCTGATCGTATCTCTTGCTTTCTAGGCTGGGAAATGTATAAACTATACAGACTTTAGTTTTTTAAAATGTTGACATAGTGTATTATTCAGGATTAATTGAGAAAGCAGACACCATGCAAGGAATTTCAAAGGGAAGAGTTTAATGTAGGGAATTGATTACTGTTATGACTGGGTAATGGCCCTCTTTAGCAGTGGTTCTCAACCTGTGGGTGACAACCACCTTGGGGACTGAATATCAGATGTTTTGCATACCAGATATTTACATTACAATTCATAACAGTAGCAGAACTATAGTTAAGTAGCAACGAAATAATTTTATGGATGGGGGCACCACAACATGAGGAGCCTTATTAAAGGGTCACAGCATTTGGAAGGTTGAAAACCAATGCTTGCCCACTTTTCTGGGGAGGCTGTTCAAATGTTAGAAAGTAGGGCATAATAAGAGGAAGTATCTCATTAAGGACATACCCTTGGATTGTATTGATTTGGGATGCTTCTTGTCCCACTGTCTGCTTCCTGTTTGCCATAATAATGTGACCAGCCATCTCAGGATCCTGCTGACATGGACTGAGCTGCTTCTGCTGTCATACTTCTCCTACATCCATTATGGGATGAAATCTGGGATTTGGGGAGGAACAGTGTAGGCTGAAAATGCAATCTGAGATTTGGTGGCTCTCCCCTTCGGTCTGAGCACTGGTAGAAGAGATAGTGGCTAGCTACTGATTTTCAGCTTGAACCCCAATATCTGTCTCTGAGTTTTTATTATTCCTGCTAAACTTTCTGTAGGGTATTTTGTTGCAATGATGTAAAAGTAACTAGCAGTAACATAGGTGACACAACATAAGAGTAACTAGCAGTAACATAGGTGACATGACATGAAAGTAACAGTAACATAGGTGAGTGATGTAAACGTAACTAACTGTAACATAGGTGTCAAAAAGAGTGTGGAAGCCAAGCACAAACTATGAAGCACAAGGCAGCAGCAAATCAGTCAAGCTTGGGGCTGGTAGAGCAAAGGAAAGCTACTGTGCTTTGAGAAACTGAGCCACCAGCAGAGGCTAAGTCAAGGCTCAGCTTCCAAGAGAAACAACAATCACATACAGAAGGGAATTCTACCTATTCTCTGCAAATTGTGACGCCAGTGTCTCCCCAATTCCCTTAGTTACACAGACACTCCCACAGTCCAGAAAGCAGGAGAACTGGTAGACATAATTCTCTCTACTACACAAGAGAGCACAAGCTTGCAGTGGACCCTGAGCAAGTAAACAAAGAGATCCATTCAAACCTTCATGCCTTTCCTTTGCAAACCAGTTTTTATCACTTTTCAATGGCTACCTATAGTTCACATTCTAAAAATACAGATCCTGAGCCAAGATGGGAACAAAAATTTCTTGACTTCTTTTTTCTTATACCATTCTGATGACTGTGCAAGAGAACAGTGACCCAATTTTATTTTTCTTAAAAGCATTTTTAATTTGTTAGCTTAATTACTCGTACAAAGTAAGGGGTCTTCCACATATTTATCCAATATATTTTGCTCATATTCATTTTTATTCTCTTTCATATTTTCTTTTACTCATCACCTCCAGCTTGTCCTCCTTTCATCCATTTCGGCTGGATTCTGCTCACAAGTCTTGTCATGTCTAATCTAGATTCCACACTTTGAGAGAAAATATCTATTTGTCTTTATGAATCTTGCTTATTCACTTAGTGTGATAGTCTCTAGCTCCATACAAATTGAGTAAACAAACAAAAACAAAGTCAAACTGTCATGTCCCTTCCGCATATTACCTTCATTTTCTTCCATTTCAACAGCCTTGAGTTTGCAATGCATCTTGGGATTTTATTCTTTATGAATGAATATATCTATTGTTATCCATCCATCCCACTGACAGAAGCCTAGGATGATTCTACAACTTGACTACTGCTAATGGAGACATAATGAAAATGAATAGTGTGTGCTGACTTAGATGTCTACTTGTATATATCCAAGAGTGGCACAGGAAAGTCTGAGGGTTAATTTGAGCCTTTTAGTTTTTGGAGGCAACTCCACACTGATTTCCATTGTGGCTCACCTAATTTACATTTCTGTCAACTGTGTATAAGGATTTTCTCAATACCCTTATCAGCGTCTGTTGCTTAGTTACTTGGTGATAACACTTTCAGATTTTTGCCTAAATTTTCTGAAGAAATTTCAATCAAGATTATTTGGGAGCAAAGGGAAAACTCAGATATCTTGACTCATAATAGAGTCACAGAAATGTAATCATATAATATGTGATTATATAAGTCTCACCTCTTTAACTGGTAATAACGGCTCTGGAGGAATATTGGTTTCTTTTGCTGTATGTTTCTCTACCGTGGCTTGCCTATCAGATTTTTCCAATACTCCTAAGCAAAGAGAAGGAAACAAATACAAAAGCATTAATTTAAAAATAACCAACTAGGGGGAGAGATGGCTAAGTCATTAAAAGCACGTACTGTTCTTCTAGAAGACCTGGGTTCTGCTCCCAGTACTTCAGGAAGTTCACAACTATCTATAATTCCAGTTCCAGGAATCTGATGCCCTCTTCTGTCCTTTTCAGGCATCGTATGCACGTGACACACACGCATATACTCTGGCACACACACAAACATATTAACAAATAATTTTTTTCAAAAGAACCAACTATTCTAGACATGACTAACATGCTAACTACATAGAAAAGCACACACATAGATACATACACATAAAAATACATAGGGAATATAGTCAGTAAGATACAGGTGATGGCAGCATTACAATTATGAAGGCATATACAAGATAGAGACCCCCTTTAAATATACAACTTGATGAAAATCTGCATGCTTGTGATTATATTCATACTTAGCATACATTCATATATAATCTGCAGAATAAAGATCCTTCACCTATATTCATGTTGACAATAAAGGATGACATATGCGTAGAAAATAAACCTTAACTTCCTTGATGTTTTCAAAAGTTAAACTGTGTATGGTCTGGCAATATAGGCTGAAAACATTTCGTGAGTCTGAAATCCGTTTGGACTGCACAGACATCATGGTTCAGAGCACTACATTAAAACTGGTGAGGACACATACAATACTAGCAGTTTCTTTAAAGAAGGGCTGGGGAAACAGCTCTATTGATAAAGTGCTTACTGCGTAAAAATGGAGACCTCATTTTGATCCCCAGCACCCACAAACAGCCAGGGTTAGGGTTAGGGTTAGGGTCCAGGGGTGTTGACTATATCTCAGCACTGGAAGGCAGACTTGGAAGGTCCGAGGGACTTCTGGCCAACTAGTGTAGCTCAATTTCAATGTCCCAGACTCAGTACCTGTCTGAAAAAAATAATCTGGTGGCCCTGCAACATGGCTGAGCAAGTGAAGTCACCTCTCTGATGACCTAAGTTTGATTCCCATGACCTGAATCACAGAGAGAAAGATCTGGAAGTGGGCTCTGATCCCCACATGCGTGCTGTGGTATGAACATATCCATACACATACAGGAAGACACAGAGAGTCATACAAATAAACACAAATGAAAATTTAAATACGTTGGAAAGAAATTGAGAAATCCACCCAATGTTGACTTGTAACCTCTACTTGCACACAAAAACATGCACATGTATCTGCACATATGTACATACGCAAAACACACACACACACCATCATCAACATCATCATCAAAGAAAGCACACAGAAAAACAGCACTACATGAGGACAAGTATGCTCTTAGTAATTATTAACAATGGTTCATTTGAAAAACAAAAACACTGGGACAGACATAATCACTAACTCTTAAAATAGAACTATTTGTGCAACGTTACATTTTGTAATGAAGGTGGGAGTGAAATTACTTCAAAATGTAGTAAATAAATACAAGAAGAAAACTTCCCACTTTTCCATCAAGATTGCATTAATCAGAGTTTGATTAAATGAATAATTTAGCATTTGCCTTTTTGTGGCTTGGAGTTAGTATAGGAAGATAAATTACATACTATAATCCCATTTTTCTTTTCATTTACTAGGCTTCAAGGGATTTTAAGAATTAGTTTCTCTGTATTCTCTAAGCAAACCACATTGGTGATTTTCTCAGTAGACATTCTAACCAATAAATTTATATAGTATTTGGGTGCTGTTTTCCTCCTGAATGTGGATTCCTATTAATTTGATTGTGAATACTTTCTAAGGAATAGAGTTCCTAGAAAGAAGTATATTTTATTCTGATGATAAATTTATTTTCAACACCTATATATTCTGAGCATACTAAAGGAATGCCTACTTAGGTAATAACACATCCGCTTCTGTTTGGGTAAGTGTCCCCAAAATGACCTGCAAGGCAAAGCCTTGGACCCTAGCTTCTGGAGCTATGAAGAGGTGGTGAATCAGTTAACGGACAGGTTGTAGTGGATGTAAGTTAGGTCATAGAGGTCTGCCCTGCCCTTGAATGACATATTGGATCTCCTCAAGAACAGCAAGTACTCTTAACCACTGAGCCATCTCTCCAGACTCTAGCTCTCCTATGTTTAGCATCTTACAGTGGTATTGTGTATTTGTGCAGCCAAAAAACCGATACAAAAATATTACATATGTTCACAGCTATCCTTAGGATTAAATAATCCTACCCTTGGTGTTAAATGATTCTATGGACACTGCAAGTACATGAGTTCATATTTCTACCACTAATGTATCACAGGGAATAGTTCCACTGTTCTACCCCCATAACCTATGAGCCACCCCTTTCCCCTTTTCAATGCAATGTCGATAATGTCAATGTTTCTATAAGTTTGTCTTTCTCTAACACCATATAGTTGGAATCTTATAGTACATAATCTTTTTAGAGTGCCTTATTTCACTTAGCAATAGGCATCCTTGGTTAATCCATATAATTTCATGACTTGATAATCTTATTTCATTGATGAGTAATAATCCATTGCATCGATATGCCACAGATTGCTAATCGACTCACCTACTGAAAAACATCTTAGTTGCTTCCAAATTCTTGTAATTATGAATAAAGCTGCTATAAACATTCATAGGCAGGTTTTTGTATGGACATAAGTTTTCAACACATTTGGAAGTGCAATTACTAGATTGTACGGTAAGGCTATTTTTAGTTAGACAGTGTCCAACTGACTAGCAAAGACAGAGTTACTTTTGTGCTACATACTTGCCAGAAAATGGTATTTTTAGCATTTTTTGGACTTTTGCCATTCTAATAGGTGTACAGTAATATCTTGTTTTAGTTTGCATCTCCATGGTGACATACTATTTTTTGCATCTTTTTATATGCTTAGTCACCATCTGTCATCTTTGGGTAAATGTCTGTTCAGATACTTTATGTATTTTAAAAACCAGATTGTTTGTTGTCATGTTGAGTTTTAAAGATTCTTTGTACATTTGAATATGAATCCATCAGTTCTTTTAGTTTGTGTCTTTTCATCTTCTTTGTGAATATGACTGTTTATTTAGCAATTTCACATAAGAAAGCTACCATCGGGCTGGGCGTTGGTGGCACACGCCTTTAATCCCAGCACTCGGGAGGCAGAGGCAGACGGATCTCTGTGAGTTCGAGACCAGCCTGGTCTACAATAACTAGTTCCAGGACAGCCTCCAAAGCCACAGAGAAAACCCTGCCTCGAAAAACCAAAAAAAAAAAAAAAGAAAGAAATCTACCTTCCAGATAGAGTAGTGCAAATGTAAGACACGGCCTAAGAAAATTTGCCATAGTTCAAGAAAATTTGCCATAGCATCATGGCAACAAATGAAGCAGAGAATGACTAAACGTTCATTAATGAATACCTAATTAAACTGTGTATAACAATGGAAAACACTTCACCATGTATAGCAAACATGACTATGACTAGCATATAGACTTCATCAAGTTGTATATTTATAGCAGCCCTGTATCTTTCATATGCATGAATCATTTTAATAATGGTAACAATCAACATCTTACTGCATATGTTCCCTGTATATTTATACATTTCTATGTTTATGTACATACATCTACTGTATGTACAACTTTTCTACACAGTAAATTTTAACATGCTAGAACCTACATCTATTAACCACATCTAAAACTGTTAGCACTTTTTTCTTAAGAGTTATTCTTTTGATGTGTATGTGTGTGTGGTTTAAAGTGATGTATGTGCATCACACGCATGCATGACCGGCCAAGGCCAGAAGAGGGCATTGAATTCCCTGGAACTGGAGGTACAAGCAGTTGTGAGATGCTCAAAGTGGGTGCTGGGAGCTCACCCTAGGTCTTCCAAAAGAGCAGCAAGTGCTCTTAATGACTGAGTCATCTCTCTAATCCCAGATGGTTCTTTTAGAATTAATGGTTCTGAATTTGTTTCCTTCTCTTTACTCAGGAAATGCTTGTGCACTTTCCTAATCATTAATAAACAGAATGTTTGTATAGGATGACAATACTTTATTATTTTAATATAGGAACATGTGTTGTTTCCAGAAAGTAGACAAGTAGAGACAAGATGCAGTTTCATGTTGAAAACATGTGTGTGTGTGTGTATATATATGTATATATATGTATATATATGTATATCCTTATGCTTTGTTCAAAAACTTTATGGTACTTATATAGTACTATTCAAAACACTCTACAGGAGTTCATAAAACTAGCTAATTTCAAGAAGTATTTACCCTTGAAGCATAATCTTTGCAGATCTATTTCTGGAACTAACTATCTGTCGTTGTGGAACTACAGTGTAAGCCCTAGATAAGAAGTTATCTGTCATCTATTTAACATTTCACTCCCAAATACATCACATTTATTCAATAAAAAAAGATCCCAGGTGTAGAAACCATCTGTTTATCTTCAAGATGAGTAACTTTCAAGTACTTATATTAATGTTTAAGATATAATACACCCCAAATTAAAAGGCTTTTAAGAAGCTTAACTTTAAGTGCAAAAGTTAAAAGGGGCATTTTTAGGCGGATTAATAACACTGGATACACACTAATAAAATATATCGTGGATACAACATTGCAGCATTTTTATATTTATTTTTAACTCAACTGGTCAATCTCAAAACTTCGTAAAATAAAATTCTATGAACTCTTTGAACAACTGGGGAATTACTGTACATACTTGATACATTGAAAATTCGGTACACACTTTACTGTCTACCATTGGTTCCGCATTTCCATGCACAGTCGTTTGCATGAAATCAACAGTGGCCTCTCTAAGCGCATGCCTAGATCAAGACCCTCAGAAGGGCACAGTGGGTCACAGGAGTGGCAGCTGCTCACCGTTTCACCTACAGTTCATTTTCCACCTCTGGCTACTTTGCACACTGCCGCTTTGCTCCCTCTCAGGGACTGGAGGTTGGCAGCACTTCCCTGTGACATCCGCTTTCACACCCAAA